ATATATATATATATATATATATATATATATATATACAAATGCGTGTGTGAGTGCGTGCGTGTGTGTGTGTCCATGATTTTGACACATCAGATATATGTGTTATGCAGGAGACGAGTATTTCTCAACTTTTCTTATTTGAGCCCGTTGTAGAATCCATTTCTATGGCATAGCCCTTTCGGACTACCATATTCTATGTCTTAGAGGTCTTTAGTTTCCGCGTGAGCGGCGTGGGGGATTCTCTTGGCGTTGGCTGAAGTCGCCGGAAGTGCGCACTTTAAAACAACGAAAGTGCGCAATTGACACGTGACTGAGGCCCTATTAGGGTATATTTTTCGCCTCGATAATTTAGGACCGCTTTTCGGAGGATAGCCGGAATTTCTTATGTGAATCGTTCTCAAACTGGAGTAAAGAAACAAATGAGGATGAACTGGAATTTTCAGCCTGGTTTATTGTCAGCCTCGATAATTTAGGACCGTTTTTTGGAGGATAGCCGAAATTCCGAACACAGACATAATTAAAACCCTGATTGGACTATAATTTTCACCTTGTCCAGATTTTACAATCTAGCACACAACTTGTATGCAAGATCCGTTTCGTTTTTAGAAATAAAAAATAGAAAGTCACTACATTCAACCTACTGCGAGCACTATGGTGAACTGATTGCAAGAGGTAGGTAGGTAAGTTATCCCATATCAGGACAACACACAAGAGATAATCACCTGGTAACACAAAATGCTACCATGCGGATGAGGATCACCAGTGGAGAGGTCCCGGAAACCCCCTTCAGCCGTTAGGCCATATTTTAGGCCCTGCTAGAATTAGGGTCCACGGCAAAAGCCAGGTGGGGCTTCAAAATAACCTAAAATTGCATCCCACATGGGGGTGGCGAGATTAACTGTTCACTTGACCTAGTTAACTGCAAGAAAGTCACTCACTTATTTTATCCACGGCCGGCTGTATATCTAGAGTTGGCCATGTTTTATCACAATGTTAGCAGACAAAATAACAAACGCGTACATGTATTGACCAAAACTAGTGATATGGTTAACCACAAACCGATCGCCTTTATTTCCCAGGACTTTACCTAGTATCCATATAAGGTTGGGTCTACCTAGAAACCAAGGTCATGTTTGAAAAAAAAATCTGGCACCATGCCGATTTGAACCCACGACCTTCTGATCCGCAGGCAAGCGTCTAGCCGCTACATTCAGGGGCGGCTCCCGTGCTTTTGAATACTTGGATGAAATTATCGCAGCTCGTGCATGTTGCAGTGACTAGTAAAAAATGCGTGGTAAACATATAGGGCTAGTAAGATATTTTATAGATTAATCGGCACTCAGTGGGTAATGTGGTCAACATCACGCCGGCCGCCTTTGCTTCCAAGGAATTTTTCTGGTACACATTTAAGCCTGGATAGACCTGGAAGCCAAAGTCATTTTCGAAAAAAAAAAAAAACCACTTCGGCTTCTCAAAACCCGAACCCAAGACGTTTATACCCACAGGCAAGCGTCGAGCCGCTACACCACTGTGTCTTCTTCTTCTTTTTCGCACTCACCAGCTGTAAACTCTGGCAAAAAGTTCTGGTTATTCATCCACTTCTGTGCTGCAGTCGTGTTCCAGAACATGAGTGTCGGATGTGCATCCGTTATACAGATCTGGCTCATGTGTATGCAGACTGCTGGTTCCTTGCCTCTCAGGCAAATTCATCCGACTTCGAAGGAAGCTCCCAATTAGTCGACTATTGCGACATGTTTTTTGGGTTTGCGGTGGGTCTATTCTTGTTTTCCCCACAATAAGGCCCCGGATCCACAAGGGAATCACGGTGTCTGAAAAGCAGAAAAGTGTGCTGACTATGCACTCAGTATATGGACTTTCCCAATGACTCTCTTACTCACTGAGTCCATTGTTTACACAGCAGTCTCAATTTTACTTGATCTGTACATCACTGCTCATTGAGGTATGCTATCCATTTGCATTCGAATTAGAGGGCCAAACCATTGCATCAGTTGTTTTATAATGAAATCCCGAGTGGCTACTTTTTTCCCTTCTATTCTAATTTAATCATTTCTGATTGTATTTTTTTTTTCGTATAAAGCTAGAGCTGCTTTTAGAAGGATGAGGCATATCTGGAAATCCAACAGTTACTGCAGAGGAACGAAACATCGACTCTACAAGAGCATAATTTTGCCAATTTTTTCTTTATGGAGCAGAATGCTGGAGAATTACCAAAAAAGGATGCACACAAGCTATCCATCTTCCACTACACACCTCTATGTAGAATTATCAAAATTTTCTGGCCAGATACAATCTCAGACACTAAACTACTTCAAGTCACAAACAAAGAAACTCTAGCCAGTATGACAAACATAGAAGATGGAAAAGGCTTGGCCACGTTATGATAATGAATCCTGATATACCTGCCAAAAACAGCTCTCACATGGATACCAGAGGGAAAGAAAGAAAAGAGGCGCCCAAAAAATCATACGGAGACGAACGATAAAAAGTGACCAGAGTGCGGCATTTTTGACATGGAAAACTGCATTGAAGATTGCACAGGATAGGAAAGTATGGAGCGTCCTCTCTGAAGCCTCATGTGCCACTAGGCGTAAAGAGAATTATTGATGATGATGATAATGATGATTGTCTTTTCTATGTTCTCGATATGTCGCGCTTTTCTGAGGAAACTTATCTCAGAAAATTTCATTTTAGTTTTCTATCATAGACCAAGTCTGGTGTGGTAACACGGTCCTAGATCCTTTAAAAACAAACATTTGTGAGATATGAACAGAGAGAGATGCATAATGTGATGAAGACATAAACTGAGCAGCAAGAGAAGCAAAAGCTATGATGTTTTGGCTGAGAATGGGCCGCTGTAGCGTTGTGACTAGATACTTGCCTACCAAATGTCTTGGATTCGATTACGCGTCACGGAGGATGTTTGTAACTGTCCAAGAGCTTTCCGGGTAGACTAAGTCTAAAACATCATCATGTAGTGGGTCCTTTGCAGAACGTCGCTTTCATCATGGTCTGCCTGAAAGAAACTTGGTCTCTAACCAGCTCTCCAGCCTCGAGTACTTTTACTTTTATATTCAAGGAGTCACTTATATCCTGTGCCCATCTTCGTGTTGGTGTACCCCTGCTTCTCTTTCCTGGTACCATTCTTTGAGTCTGAATAGGTACTAGAATTTGTCATGGAAAGTCTTCTTCTCGATCTTCTTGTTCTTTTAGTTCTCCCTGCCAGCTGTTTCACATGAGAAGGCCACAGGCCTCTATGAAGTTTGTGGAGCGACGCCTATATCCCACTGTTCCATGCTGGTTGTCCCTTGAAGGCTAACCGACCAAACATGGGATTTCCCCTGCTATCACGGAAGGTAAAAGCGAACGGAGTGCTAATCATAACAAAAAGTATTCCCTAACTAGTCCCGACTGGTTTAGAAAATAAATGGTTGGCACAGTGGACACCAGACTTTATTTTTTTCGAAAATGACCTTGACTCCCAAGTAGACCCAGCTTTGGGTAGGTAAGAGTTATAGGCCAGAGAAGTAAAGGCGGCAGTCGTAATTTTGACCACATCACCCACCAAGTGCTGATTGGTCAATAAAATATAGGTCTAGCCCTATATGCCCAAAACACCCCAAGGCATGGAAAAGGGGCCTTTTCGTTATGGTATGCGCCATGCAACACTGACATTAAAAGGGTCTGTTACTGTAGTTATTTACCTTGGCGAGTTTATTGAAGGCATTCAGAACAGGGGACAACTGTAAGGAACCAAGGGTAAAATATGGTGCGGACACGGCGGGAGCTGACGAGACGGCAAAACAGAACAGCTTGTAGATGAGTTGGTTGAGGACATATATTGCAATGTCGAACTGGTGGTGGTGGTGGTAGTAGTAGTAGTAGTAGTAGTAGTAGTAGTAGTAGTAGTAGTAGTAGTAGTAGTAGTAGTAGTAGTAGTAGTAGTAGTAGTAGTAGTAGTAGTAGTAAAAGTAATAGTAGTAGTATTAGTAACAGCAACAAATGCAGCGACAGCAGCAGCAACAGCAGTAGAAGAAGAAGAAGAAGAAGAGGAGAAAGAAGAAGAAGAAGAAGCAGAAGAAGAAGAAGCTACCACCATACCGCCATCACGCTCGTCTCACAATCACTATCATCTCACCATTAATGTAACCACAATCACAACTTTAAAACCTCATTAGAAAAACATATCTATAGGTAACCACCCTATTTTGATTTCTCTGCAGATTAAACAACTTCTACGTCTTACTAAGAACACTGGTACCTTCTTAGAATCACACTGATCAATAGTATAATCAGCGAAAACAACCCTAGCTTCATTAGTGCCAAACCTGCAACAACAACGGATATCATCAAGCTGCTACAACTGGATGAGTACAACAGCGGCTGTCAGCCAAAATGACGTAACCACATAAATATTTTCGGGACACATCAGTGTTTTTGTGTGTGTGGTGATTACTCAGTCTCATCAGATTAGTGCGTCCGCTGCATTAATTATTCACACTGGCTTGGCATTACACAAAATCACTAAACATTATTTGACGACACAGGTCTATTTATAGATAAGAGATCAAATGTTGTCACAACATTTATAGGACAATTGGATGGTTCATCTGGGAAATGTGGCATGATGTTGACATGGGTAAATAACTGTGCGGGAAACAAATGTAATGAGAAACAATTGAGCGAATTTCATTAAGTAATAGATCAAATTAAAATAAACTTTGCATCAAGTAGCAAGTTGATTAAAAATAAGAGAAACTATTAAAACGATTAAAAAACAACAATACATCATTAAAGGATTTTCTTGAAAATAAGGGAGGACAGTTATGAATAATAGAAAAATTACATTTGCTCTTATAAGTAAACCAAAAAGAAAATGACTAACTTTATTTAACAGAAATGAATACCCAATAGTAAAACATAAATGTGCAACGTAGAATGCTGGTCCATCAACTTCTCTGGATAAAACAGTCTACCGTTTCAAGATGATATGTTGTGGAACCAACAGCCCACTGCAGCCCTTCCAGGACCAGATGACCAACACCGCCCACCTGGAGCTGAACTTGGAGCAAGCTGACCTGGTCTACTATTCGGGGGATCGCATCAGGGGCGCTCTCGTAGTTCATGTGGCTGCCCCGGTTACAATCGCAGGTTAGTTTTGTGTGAAAGTGTTCTAAAATTGTGTTTAACCAATGTTGTGTGGAAGTGTTCTAAATTTGGTTTAATCAATGTTGTGTGGAAGTGTTGCAACAACTTAGTGTAACCAATGTTGTGTGGAAGTGTTGCAACAACTTAGTGTAACCAATGTTGTGTGGAAGTGTTGCAACAACTTAGTGTAACCAATGTTGTGTGGAAGTGTTGCAACAACTTAGTGTAACCAATGTTGTGTGGAAGTGTTGCAACAACTTAGTGTAACCAATGTTGTGTGGAAGTGTTGCAACAACTTAGTGTAACCAATGTTGTGTGGAAGTGTTCTAAATTTGGTTTAATCAATGTTGTGTGGAAGTGTTGCAACAACTTAGTGTAACCAATGTTGTGTGGAAGTGTTGCAACAACTTAGTGTAACCAATGTTGTGTGGAAGTGTTGCAACAACTTAGTGTAACCAATGTTGTGTGGAAGTGTTGCAACAACTTAGTGTAACCAATGTTGTGTGGAAGTGTTGCAACAACTTAGTGTAACCAATGTTGTGTGGAAGTGTTGCAACAACTTAGTGTAACCAATGTTGTGTGGAAGTGTTGCAACAACTTAGTGTAATCAATGTTGTGTGGAAGTGTTGTAAAATTTAGTTTAATAAATGTTGTGTGGAAGTGTTGTAAAATTTAGTTTAATAAATGTTGTGTGGAAGTGTTGTAAAATTCTGTTTAATAAATTTTGTGTGGAAGTGTAAAATTTTGTTTAATCAATGTTGTGTGGAATTGTAGAATTTGATTTAATCAATGTTAGGTGGAAGTGTTGTAGAATTTAGTTTAATCAATGTTGGGTGGAAGTGTTTGTAAAATTTAGTTTAATCAATGTTGTGCGGAATTGTAGAATTTAGTTTAAAAAATGTTGTGTTGAAGTGTTGTAAAATGTAGTTTCATCAGTTTTGTGTGGAAGTGTTGTTAAAAGTAGTTTAATTAACATTTGGAATAGGCACTTTGCGACATTTCAGACGTCTCGTGTATACTTTAGTCATCTGCCAAACAGCTTTTTAATTATTAAAATCTTGTAGGCTGAACCATATTGATTCCTTATCAAACCTTCACAAAGTAGCACACTGGAATAAACAACTCGAAAGCTGAGGTAATGAGAAACAAAAGGAAACAAAATAACATACACGTTCATGTTAACGCTACTACAATCAAACAAGTACGAGAATTCAAATATCTAGGAAGCATGTTTACGGAGGATGGCAGACTCGATACAGAGATAGAGGCCAAAGTACAGAGAGCAAATGCTGTCACCTACCACTTAACCCCACTGCTTAGACACCCAGATGTCTACCTTACAGCAAAACAGCATATGATTAATATCATCTTCATCCCTACTTTATGTTATCAGTACCAAACATGGACAATGAATAGGACACTAGAACAAAAAAAAAAAAACAAAAAAAACTACATGTAATATATGATGTCTCCGCAATGTCACTAACAACACAAGAAGAGGGCCGAGTTACGAATACCAGTGTTAGAGAGAAAGTTGGAATAAGAGTAAGACCATGTCTGGATCAAAGTGTCAGACAAATACTGAAATGGTTCGGCCATCTAGTGAGAAAGCAGCCAGATCAAACTGCATGTTGGACTTTTTACAGCACAGCAGAATATCTAGGAGGAAGGCGACAGGAAGACCAAGAAATAGATGGATAAATTGTATACATTTAACCTGCAAAAAAAATGAACATATCCATTACTCAAGACACCCGAGAAGCGCAAAACAAATGCAAACAACCACAACACCTGTTAAAAGTGAGACGACACAAGAAGGCAAAAAAAAAAAAAAGGCTGAGTGACGAACCAGTAATGGGGCGCTATCTGATCTTCTTCGTCAGAGGTGAATATTCGCCCCTGAAGAGCAGTGTCGGGGGACCCAACATGATAAGGTTTGATGGAGCAACATCATGACTATAATTAAGATGCCTCAGCACCGCAGGGTGTGTTTTCGCAGTGTCAACATTAAGGGCAGAAGTGTATGGACTTGCCACGACATGAAATGTCACAACTGTTGCATTTCAATATAAGAAGAGCACTAGCAATTTGTTTACTCACATACATAGTAATATCATTAAGTTGGTTGCATATAATTTACATGACTTCGCTAACCAATTAAAATATATTTTTCGCTCCTGTGTAGGGAGGGTTTCTGGGAAACTACGTTCAATAATCTGATATATCCCTGAACGGCGCAACGCCCAAATAGTTGTTAAGATAACCCTAAAACGGTCTGATACCAAATCGCCTGTAGCCGACTTCTTATCTCTGTGTTCATCTCCCATAAGCAAGCCCCGGGCCCGCACGGGAAGCAATAAGAAGAAACTCCACAGGGGAGCATGTACAGCAGGAGTCTACCAATCATCAGTAGAAGTGATCTCTCGTCCACAAATGTTTCGGCCCACAAGCTCCAATACATTTTCAGAGAGTGGGCCCATCTGAGTTCATGAAGTTCAGGGTTGATCTGCTCCTTCTGCACGTATTACCGGATGTTCTCGGACAGGGACAAGACGAAATTGGTGACTGTGCAAAAGATACTGTGAGATTAGAAGTGTATTTACATAATTGCTGCGGTAGCATAATCAGAGCATTCAGCTTACCTGGACGACCAAGTGGCAAGCTTACGGTTAGTTTATTGGACACTTGTTAGACTTTGTTGGCAGATGGCAGAGGGACACCGGCAGAAAATTTGGACACGATGGACTTTAATGGATAAGACCTTCTTTTCCACTAGATACCCGGACAAGCTCACCGAGGCATATCCCCCATGACGTTCCGTGGTATCCGGAGACAGCTTGAGGCCCTCTTCACAGCCTTGCCCAGTTGTTTTAGTGCTTATTTGCGCTCGTCTCCTCGCAAGCCCAGTTGTTTAATCACATTGTACATAGAAGTGGAAACGAGACCTCTTTCGCCTACCTACTGAAAAGATTTTTACTGTGTACGCTTCGTCTCTCCTCAGACCAGCCTCTAAGTCACTGTACTTCTCGAGCTTGTTCATGTGGCTTTAGTCCATTCGCGACTCATACGGCACGGTCAGTTCGATCAGGATGAGCTGACGTTTATCCGCAGAGTGTAGGACTATGTCGGGTTGCAAGTCAGTCTTCCAGATTAACTCTGGGTACTTTTGGTGACCAGGCAGGTCAACCGCCAGTAACCAGTCCCTCGCACAGTAAAGAATAATGACACTGCACCCTACCAGGCAAGTCGTAAGAGGCGACTAAGGGTGAGGTTGGGCTTGAGGTTGGCTACCTCATCCTGTAAAAACAATAGCCACAAAAACCAACCAACCATGAGAAGTCAACAAGAGAAACAAGAAAAACCCAGCCAACCAAAATGAGTTAGGCTCTTCAAGTAGAAAAAAAATATGACACGGTGTGGAGATAGCAGAAAGGAGTCCGGATCGTCGGCGTACCTCCTTTCACCTAGAAAAAATACCCCAGAACTGACACGTGGAATGTTAAACTAGAATGTCTGTTTACTGGTACCCACAAGGGCATCTTAATAAAGGAAGGCAAAAAAATCATACACACATGGAGAAGGGAGCTGGAGAAGGAAGTTAAAAAGCTGGGGAGGACATGGGGAGAACTGCATGCAATAGCAAAAAATAGAACGACTTGGCGTGAGTTGGTTGAGGGCCTATGCTCCATTGGGGGCTAAAAAGGCAGAAGAAGAAAGAAGAAAAAGAAGGAAGCCACAATAGCCGCACACCGTTCAAATTGTGGAACACTTCATTACGCAGGCGAGTCTTGCTAGTCACATTCGCCTTCGCCTTGGGCTGTGACTCCCATGCATCACCATAGCACAATATAACACTATCGTCTGGAAATACGGAGAGGTGCCAACAAATATAAAATCATTCTTAGGGCAAGCATATCCTCTTACAAGTCGCATATACTTAGGTGGCGACAGATAGTTCTGTTGAAGATGATAAGACTGGAGTTCTTGAATACGTGACCGTGCACCAAAACACGAGAAAACACCGACAAAAACTAAATAATAACAATAGTTATTATAAGAAGAAGATGATTTATGGAACAACTATCTCAACACCAGTTGGCAAAGCACCTTGAAATATATTCTGTTCTTATACAATTTGCTGTGCTACTGCATATCATTGCTCATGTTTTTCTTGTAACTGCAGTAACATAAATATAGTTTATGGGGCAATTATCTCAATATCCGTTGGCAAAGCACTTTGATATATATTTTGTTCTTGTACAGTTTGCTGTGCTACTGCATATCATTGCTCATGTTAATCTTATAATTGCACTAACATAAATAAACATCTTCCCATGCCACCGATTTCAGACAGAAAATTTTACTGACCTTTGACTTGACAGTTTATTACTTATTAGAGATGCTTGTGGCACAACACGGTCTGTAGCTAGCTACGAAAAGATCATCCGCAACGCAACGGCAACGTACGGATAATAATAAACAGTTTGATGGCACTGGGGAATCATAACCGGTGTTTATGAAGATAAAGAGGTCACAAACATTTTCACGTAACGGGGATCTGTCTTCAACGATGCTATTGCCTCATGTGTTTTATGTTCTCTCTTTCAGAACATAACATAGGAATTGTCTTATTAACAGCGATAGTTTTCTGCAAACGATGAATATAATCAGTTTCCCACAATGATAGTAAAGTGTAGCTTTCTCAGTTGGGGTTTACAGAAAACAAATAAACTCTTCTTTACTGTGATGATCTGCTGAAAGTCACAAACATTGTCACATTATTACAATAGTGCAGGGGCGCCGTACTCAAGACCACTGTGTAGGGTTGCTTGGCAATTTTATAGTTACCGTGCCCGGAATCGAACCTGTCACCTATAGCTAAATCGCCCAGATTAACTTCAGCCCATTCCGTAGTGTTTAGTTTAAAACCAATAACAGTAGAACCTCCTTTTATGAGCATCCCTCATAATGAGTAATTCGCATAACGTGCAAAACAAAATGTA